AAGGAAAAGAAATATTATTGAGGAAGAAATTGATTATATGAAACAGAAGAAAAAAATTTCTTCAAAGGGACATTAAAGATATTAATGAAGAAAGTAGATGCTTTAGCAGATGAAGCTGGAGACCAGCAGGAACATTGATTTGTTTATCAAGCAAATGAACATAGAAGAATAGTTAAAGAAAAGGAAATAGACAAAATAATTAGATGTTAAATAGCTGAAAGATTTCGATTTAAAAAAAGCAAATGTTTTGTATCTTTTATGTACAGTTTATTATTCTAGTATCTTTCAAAAAGCCAAGGAAAAATTGTATGTTTACAAATCAGTTATTTTAATCTGCAAAATATTTTTACATTGTGATTATAATAGTAGTTGACTGTGTTTAAATAAATATCAAATAAGTTAAATAATAATCATGTAAATCTCTAAAATAGTGACTATTATTAGTGTAAATACACTTATACATGTTTTTTCAAGAAATGTTCCTAATTTAATGTTATCTACTTCAAACTTGTAGGGAGTTAGTTTAATTTTCAAAATTGTTTTATGGTAAGTATTAAATTGAATTTAATAATAGTGCATAATACACACTTCTGTTAGTTTCTTAAAGTGAAATTACAAACATGAAGTCGGTTGTATGGATAATTGCTTTATTCTATTCATTATTTTGTTTGCTGATAGGTCTTTAATTTTTTTCTTTGATGGTGCTTAAAAGTCCTTAATTTTCATGTAAGGAAATATGTACGAACCCTGTAAATAGGGTAAGTGGATATTTGCTTTTTGTAGTGCTTAAATGTATAACATGTTTTTCCTTTTTTATTTTATTTTATTGTTTGGCTTAAAATGTAATTTATTGAGATTATGTATTTTTTGTTTGCCTGTATTGTAGAATTGAGTGCTCCTTTGACTTTTTAAGTGAAAATATATCGATGTGTACATGAACAAAGTGAAGTAGTGCGCAATGCCATTTTTGTGCAATTTGGGAATTTTTTTTAAGTGAAAATAGGTTGATGTGTACATGGATACCGAGTTTGTGCAATTTTTTGTCTTGTTATTTTGGCTTTGTGTAGCGGCAATTTTTGGCACAAAAATCGCCGTTATGCAAGCCAAAATAATAAGTCAAAGAATTGCACAAACTCGGTATCCATGTACCACCAAAAAATGCCAAGGGGTACCCTAAAATATACTTTTACCGTTATGACTATTAATGAGCTATGACAATTTTCGTACAGCTCTATTTTGGGGATCAGTTTCAGATATCGCCAGAAGTTGATCTGGCAAAAAAATTCTAAGCATAAAAATAATCATCAGAATATTTGTGATATGGTTAAGCTGAAGAAAAGTTGAGGAAAAATAACATAACAGATATTCGTAAAATTAGAAATTTGTAATGTAAATTTAACAATTTGCAGAAGAAATCAGAAGGGGATAAAAAAAATAAAAAAAAAAGAATAGGTTACAGTAAAGAGAAGGGTACTCCTTGTATTATTGCAAAGTTGTTTCATTTATCACCAAGTGGTGGTTTATTTATGGCAGCCCGAGTTGTTGAATGTTATGGAAACCCTATTATAATGTAATCGGTTGCATGATTGCAGTGAATATGTAAGGGCTTGTCATGTGTGTTGGTTAGGAAGTACATTGCTTGTTTTCTGGTTTAGATGGTAAAATTTGCTGAATGGGGTAAGATTAAATTGAAGTTTCTGTTCGATTTGGAAAGAAAGGGGAAAAGAGCATTACTTGACTGGTGTTGTAAATGAAGGTTTACTTAGTAGCCATTATTATTAGTAGCCTGTTTAGGAAGAAGTCTTAGTAGCTTGTTTGTAGGAAGGAAATGAGTATGGCTGGATGATATGGCACTACAGAGGATATTTTTTACTCTTATTTTTTTAATTTATGTGGCTATGCCAGTATACAGATTCTAGTTCAGATAATTTTAGGAAAATTTTGGATGCTGTTAAGGTATTTTGTGTGACTAAAGACGTATTAATTCGTAAATAAGGTAAGTGGATATTTTCTTTGTGTAGTGCAAAGATGATTTTCCTTTTTTATGTTATTTCTTTGTTTGATTTAAAATGTAGTTTATTGAGATTATATATTTTTTAGTTGGCTGTTCCTTGACATTTTAAGTGAGTGTAGTTCGATGTGTACATGGACAAAGTCAAAGGAGTGTGCAATGCCTAGTTTTGTGCAATTCTCTTATTTTTCAAGTGAAAATAGGTTGATGTGTACATGGATAAAGTCAAGAGAGGCGCAATGCCAAGTGTGTGCAATTCTGGGATTTTTTTTCAAGTGAAAATAGGTCAATGTGCACATGGATACCCAGTTTATGCAATTCTTTGTCTTGTTATTTTGGCTTCGTGTAGCAGTGTTTTTTGGCACTAAAGCACCGCTACACAAGCTAAGTTTATTTTGTTGGCGTGTATTGTAGAATTGGGTGCTTCTTTTACTTTTAAAGTGAAAATAGGTCGATGTGCACATAGATAAAGTAAAGGGTGTGTGCAGTGCCATTTTTTTTGCAATTCTGGGATTTTTATTTAAGTGAAAAATAGGTCGATGTGTACATGGATACCGAGTATGTGCAATTCTTTAAAATGCGTCAAGAAGTGAACTTTACCCAAAATTCTCTTGCAGCCTTTTCGTCATAGGCAATTCCCAAATTGTTAAATCCATAGACTATCAAAAAAGGATTTAAAATCAATAAAGGATTTGAAGATTAAACTAGTATTTGAATGGCATCTTAAGAAATATAGAACTATATAAACTTACACAGTCTGAAATCAGCGCGTATGCTAGATTTGGCGGGCTGTTAAATAGGCATGTGTGCTAGATTTGGCGCCTTTGCGCATACATTTTCACTGCAATTTTTTTACAGTCCTCGAAACGGAATAGTACCTATTTTAGTAATCATTATATAATATAATAATTTTATCCTTTGGGAAATGCTGAAGATTAAATTGCTTGTGATTGCTGCTTCATTTATTGGATAAGGAGAACAACTTAGTAATATAAGCAATTTTGAATTTCAAAGCACACATTCTGATTTATTAGAGAAAATATTTATAGTTAAAAATCACTTTTTTTAAAGTACATTGACCATTATGCTATATCATTTTTATTTTTGTGTTTTTATCTATTCATTATATATCAGAATGAAATTCTTGCCCAGATTGGGAAGTTTAAAAGTATGCAATGGTAGGGAATATTTACTGCTTAATTTTTATACAATGTCACTGGTGGAAAGCTTTTTATGCTATTATTAATAATTTAATTCTAATAAATAATTTTATGAAATATTGTTTCTTTCTTTATTCCTTTTCCTTAGGTTAATAATGGAGATTTTCCTCATATGTTGTTGTACGGCCCTCCAGGTGCCGGGAAGAAAACTAGAGTAATATGCTTACTTCGTGAGCTTTATGGTGCTGGTGTTGAAAAAATGAAAATTGAGCATCAAATCTTCGAAACACCATCAAAAAGAAAAGTAGAAATTATAACAATTGCAAGCAATTATCACATTGAAGTCAATCCAAGGTAAATTTTTTAAAATTTTGTTTGCTAGTTTCATAGTCTCTTGATATTTCTCAATACAGATGCTCCCCACCTTACAAATGAATTACATTCCAAATGACTGTCCATATCACGAATTTGTTTTAAAAATGTTATTAGGTTTGCTACACGTACTTCCCAACAATGTTAATGAGATAAGACTTATAAGTAGTATTAAATGAACAATAAAAATATTAAAATAAATAATACATTTTAAATATAGTATATTATGAATAAAATATTACTTTACTGTATGGTATGTACTTTGGATTGTTGTCTGTGAGGTATGTATATGGATGGGGTGAGGGTGAGGCTAGTAGATCTTTATACTGGTAAGAGTGAATTAACATGATACACTTCCTAAAAATCTCATCAGCAAATAAAAGGGACATTTGTGATGAGGAGGCTGTATGAGAGGTGATAAGAAATGCAAGTTAAGGGGCCCAGTAACATCAATTTCTGAAGTATGTTTCTTAAAGCAATAAGCATCTAAACTTTTCTGAGGTTTTCTTTTCTTTTACTTTCCGATGTAAAAAATGATGATAGACAAAATGGCATCATATACAGCCATTTGTTTATTTTCTTTCTGGCTCTGAGAAAATTTTAGTCCGAGAACAGAACATTGTAAAGTAGGAAGTGTCTGTATTTTGTAGTTAAAGGTTTTAATCAGATGTCTCAAGGTCTATGGCATTGACACAAATTACTTAAAGGATTTTGCATCATATTATATTTTACTCAATTCTGCAGAACATTGTCTTTTGAATGAATAATATATGATGTGCAATTGGTTATAAATTTAGTTTAAGAATAGTAAAGTAAATAAAGTAAATTTTGAGTATTATTGAGTTTTTAGATTTATTAATAGTTTTTGTCTGAAGTTTTCTTAAATGACATATTACCAGTTATAAACATAAAGTGTTAGTTAATCATTTTCAAATATGGATATCAATTAGTGTGAAGTGTGGGTTTTAGTTTTGTATGCAACTTAAAACTGTTCTAAGAATGCTTGGTACTTTTCCGTTTTGCTGCCACAAATCTCACCAAGCAGGCTTTATTGGCGACAACATATACATTATATGCATATAAAATGTTAACGAATGTTAGTTCTAAAAATTTTTTATTTTGAAGGCATAAACATTTTAATATCATTTAAAAATTTTTAAAAAGCCAATAAGTAAAGACAATAAATTTGTAAAAAGACATTAATTTTAAGAGTTTACTATGCTTTCATGGTTCAACATCATGGTGATTTGTCAGTTCATATCACATGACCCCAAGTGATCTCATCTCATGTAAAGTATGCTGCAAAAATCTAATTCTTTCAATAATTATCTATGTTAATTTCAAATTAAATCTTAATTTGTAATACTAGTTAAAAATGCAAGAATTATTTCAATTCGTACGATTAGCTTACTCAGTTATGTGTAAACCGCAGTGCTTTACTTCACTAGTGCATTCTCATTAGAATTGATGAATTTAACCCTTGACTTTGCCTTTTCTGTATTTTCGCTTTTGGGTGAGTGGTGGGATTGCATCCTAATTGACTTAATTACCGCGAATGGCCTTATGGCATAAAACTGAACTATCTGGTAAAATTTCTATGTAATTAATTGTATGCCCATATTGAAAAAAACAATCAATCTGATAAGAAATGGCTGCGACTTGTTTTGAAAATGAAGCGTAAAAGGTTACCAAGGAGGATATTCTGTTTAGCATCAGTTGTACCATTATTGAAGACTTTATCGCCTGCGGCGGCTAAACGGAAAAGTACCAAATGCTTTTGTGAATTATATTTATATATTTTTGATAAGCAAAAAGAAAAAAAAATAATAATCCAGAGAATTAGTTTTATTTACTCTTGTCAAATTAAAACAAGGAAACCCTTACCAGTCTAATGTATCTTTTCAAAATCATTACCTACAAAAATTGTCAGCTCAGCATGAATTAGAAATCACACAAATATTTCTTTACATTAAGAGTTGAAAGCATTGGGAAGAATTTCTAAAATAAATATTTTATTCAAGGACTTTCTTATCTCATGTTATATAGAGCCAAAACAACTTCATTGTTTTGATTCAATATTCATATATAATTAATATATAATTATATAAAATTTTGTAAATTTTGATTTCATTTCCTTGTCCATGTTTTGCTCTTTTTTTCCTCATATTTTTCTTGCGAGGTATTTTTTCCCCATTTATTTCTTCACTTTTATCTAACTTCATGTATTTTGCTTTAGTGTTATTATAGCTTTTTAGATGTCTTTAGATGCTTTATTTATTTTGTTTTAATATAGTTTTAAATGACTTTTTTAGTGATGTTGGCATTTATGATCGTGTGGTGATTCAAGAACTTATCAAAACAGTTGCTCAGACTCATCAGCTTGACAGTCACACTCAAAGAGAATTCAAAGGTTTTTTTTTTTTTTTTACATATCTATATATTTCCGTGGCCATTCAGCTATTGCTGTCTGTTCTTGTGCTGTTGTTATATGTTACATATCTGAATTTACATAGATTTATCTGTATGTATTTATATAGAAAAAATAAAAGTGGAATCATCAAACACCTAAATGTTTTTTACTTGTTTCTTTTTTTTTTTTTCTTTTTTCCTTTTCCTCTTTTTTTTTTTTTTTTTTTGTCTTTTAAAGGGGTTTTTTTACTTTCAAGTAACTTTTATGAATTAGCCGGCATTTCTTATGCATGTATGTGTAAAAATGATAACTGTTGTTTTTCTATAAATGCATGAAATTTTTATTTATGTAAAAAATGATTAAAAAAAGAAATAGAATTTAAGTAAAAAAGTATATTTTCTTTATGAGCTTAAAAATCTTGAAAATACTACCTATAGTCTGGATGTAATATTTAAGGAATACCTTTTTATTTGGAATAAATTTATTGCTTAAATTAATTCAATATTTTTTTTATTCTTAGATGCAATTGAAAATTTTTATTTCCATTTTATTCAATGCAGCTCGGTCATATTTTAATTTTCAGTTTATTTCATATTTGACTTTATTTCCACTCTTATTTTATGCAGCTTAGCAATAATTTATTTCAGTTTTGATTCAGTTTATGTAGTATGTGATTATTAAACGTATACTTATTTGTTTAAAAAATTAATTGGGACACGCAGTTAAAATGAAGTTAATAAACGTACAAAAGCTTTTGTAGACAAGTCATCTGCAAAATCTCCTGTACTTTTTATTTCATTTTAATTGTAGTTTGAGCTTGTCAACTAGGCTATTTTCTCTTTATTAACTTCATATATTTATAAGTAACAGAAATGTTTGCAATTTTCCTGTTTATGCTATGATTACATTTAATTTTACTATTCTTAATTATAAAAAAAATGTGATAATCTTCACCGTATCATTGAATCAACAAAGTTAATTTTTATATTTATTTGTATAAATTAATATACACAATCTCTCTCACTTACTCTTTTTTTTTTTTTTTTTTTTTCTGTAATAAAATCAAAGACAATTTTTTTAGTTGCACAGAATAAAATCTGTAATGTATTTTATTGCTTTTAACCGCTTGGTTTGTTAATCAGCAACAGATTGTGCATGGATGATAAAAGTATTTTATTTTAGGCAGTGGCAAAATATTGTTTATAAATAGCATACCTGCCAACTTTTACAAATTTTTCGTAATTTTTACGAAAATGCGTTTGTCTTTACGATTTTACGATCATAATCCATTTTTTACGATTTTTTCCTTTTTCAAGTGTTTTTAGTGATTTTTGTCGAAATTTTAGAATTTTTCGCCAATTCAGCGATTTTCACCAATTGCATCGTGTTTTACCGCCAACTACCGACTACTTCGAATCCAGTACCCTGCGGTTTCTCCAACTCGCTGCTTAACCAGCCAATACAATGCGCTGAACTTGTTTCTCCCACTCTTTTCTTTGTGGGCGCCAGATTATTTTTTTAGCGTTGGATTGTCCAGCATTGGCAATTACTGAGCTTTTTTTTTTTTTTTTTTTGTTGTGCAATTCGTTTGCTACGAATTTTCTTAATACGTCGTTGTTACGAAAATGAGTTAAAAAAAAACCGTATTCTCAATATTTTCGGCCTGCCTACAAAGCCGAATTTCCAACAATTAAAGAATCCTTCAAAGGAAATAACTATGCATTTTGCAACGTGTGCGTGTGTGACTTCATAATAAGTCACGGTGGAAGAAGTGCGACATTGTGAAGCATGTTAAGTCTAAAAAGCATGAAGTTAATGCTTCGGCTTCGACAACGTCAAAGAAAGTGGATGATTTTTTTTTTCAAATTCGGCTATGAATTCGGATGCCGATGTCATTTTGGTAGAGTGTTTGTTTACTGCATTCCTCATCGAACACAACGTGCCGCTAAGCACTGCCGATCACGCTGGTCAACTTTTCAGATGGATGTTTCCCGACTCCAAGATTGCTCAGAAATATGCTTGTGCTCGCACGAAAACATCTTCTATTTGAAAGAAATTGCTTGCGATGCACAAAGTAAAACGATAGCTGCACTCCAGAATTCAGCATTTTCGGTGTCAATCGATGGCAGCAACGGCAGCGATTGGAAGCTTTACCCCATCGTTGTCACATATTTCTGTGATGTTTCTAATGAAATGAAAACTCATCTTTTGCGTCTTCCATTGTTAACGGGGGAAAATATTGCCTCCTTGGTAATTAATGAGTTGAAACAACTTAACATTCCAATATCAAACTGCATTTCATTTGGTGCAGATAATGCTCATGTCATGGTGGGTGACAAAAAGGGTGTAGCCTCTTTCCTAAAAAAAAAGAACAAAATGAATTAATTGTTATTGGATGCCCATGCCACTTAATTAATTTGGCAGCAGAAAAAGCTGCAGCTGCTTTACCATTAAATATTGAACAGCTTCTCATTGATGTGTTTTTCTATCTGGAAAAAAGTGTAAAAAGGAAAGAAAACCTAAAGAATTTCCAGGAACTGTGCTCTGGTGAAACGAGAAAAATTCTGAAACATGTATGCACGAGATGATTATCCTTAGGCAGAGCGCTAGGAAGGTTTATTGAACAGTGGGATGCATTGCTAAAATATTTCCACGAAGAGACCAAAGCGAAACCACAGATCCCATCAAATTTGTCGGCATATAAGATTCCGAAAACCAACTTTGCTTCTAATCAAAATGCTTTAAAAGGGAAAAGCCAACACACAGAATTAAACCCTTTAAAATGAAAATGCTTAGAAGACTCCTCAAAGGTCAACTTTGTTAAAGAAGTTGAAGGGAAGAAGAAACAGTCTTGTATTAGCCGGGAGGAAAGGATTTTCTATCTTCTTTCTTCGGATTTGAACAAAGCATATTGTAGTTTTGTGTTAAGTACCATTAAGATTTTTGAAAGTGTAAATACCCTTCTACAATCAGCTTCGCCAAAATCTTCCTGCTTATCCAAATTCTTAATGATATTTGGAAAGAACTTTATACTAAGTTTGTAAAACCGTTTGTTGTGAAAAACAGTGTGTTGATTCGTGTTGCCTATAATAGTTTGGCAAATCAAAAGGATGACAATGATCTTATAATTGGAAATCAAACCAGGGAACTTGTAAATTCTTTGAAAGATCATGAGAAAAAAGAATTTTTTCAATGTGTTAGAAAGTACTTTTCCTCAGCCTGTGATTACATTGTAAGGAAGTTTCCTTTGCAAAATGAAGTTCTTTTAAATGCTGAAGTGGCAAATTTGAAACAAAGTGAAAATTCGTCTTATGAAAAGATTCGTTTTTTTATTGATAAATTTCCATTTTTGTTAACAATTAAAGAAAATAAATGCCATAATGATGATTTAGATGAACTACAGAACCAATTTTCTGCTGCACAGTTTGAAGACTTTGCCAGTTCTGGAGAAGATAGACTTGATATCCTCGTTGGTACCTTAAAAAGAATAAAAAGAACTGATGGAACACCAAAATATGATAGACTAGCAAGAGTTTTATGTGCTATTCTCGTAATTCCACACAGTAATGCTGAGTGTGAGAGAGTCTTCAGTATTATGAAGAAAAACAAAACTATGTTTCGTTCTTCAATTTCACCAAAAACTCTAGAAAACATTTTAATTGCTAAATGTTATGAGGAAACTAATTGTTATGACAGGAAATTTTCCAAAGAATTTTTGGCTAAAGCCAAAAAATGCACTCTTAATTCATTGCAATAATTTTTTTGTGTAACATTAAGTTCTTGTTTTACGTTTCCTAATAAATTTCTTAGTTACTACTTAATTGAGATTTACTAATGTAAGTACAATTTTTCTTTTTCTATTTGTATAAATTGTTATTTTTTTAATATCATGATATTAATTCTTCGTGTTCTTCTGAATTTTGGAGAAATCTTCTGAATTTGGGGGAGAAATCATCTGAATTTTTATCTTTAGAGGTTGGCAGGTATGAAATAGTCTAATTTGTTGATTAAAAGTGAAAAATAAATATTGTACATTTTACTGAATAGCAACAGTTTGGCTTGCTTGAGGTAAAAATGTTTTATTTCAAGAACTGCTCACCTTTAACTGGCTGAGTTTCTTAATAAAAAAAATAAATGAATTAAGTTTGTACAAAAAATAAAATAAATAAAAAAAAATCTAAATTTGAGCTTCAAGGAGCACACATTTCGAAGCAGGGCTACATGTATTCAAAATCTGGTGGCCCTGGATCTGTCGATTTTCTACAATGTGAGGAACTACATATATACATACAGATTCTTCATTATTTAACCCTCTGGCTGATCATCCCACGATTTCCGCAGGCATATGTTTTTCTTCCTTTATTGAGCAGTGCAACCCGTTTTTTTTTCCTCGTTTAACCATTGAAATAAATTATATACAGTATTAGGCGTTTAGTTTAGGTTTTTGGCCACCAAATATCGTTAGTAGTCCACTAAATTGCAGCATTTGAAGGCACGTGGTATTAGCGCTCAAACTTCACTTTTTGCCGCTTTATTCTTACAGAAATGTCTGCTAGAAAATGTTCGGCGATTATATTGATTATTTAATTAAATTATTAATTAGATTTATTGAATCTGGTGCCAAAACTATGAAGTTTGAACTCTGTCATACTAAACTGCATTTTTAAGGTATTTTCCCCTCAGCGCTTTATATTTTCTTAAATTTTATACATTTTACTTTTTTATACAAGTATTATGCAATAAATAGAAATTAACTGTAATTTGACTGAAATTTATTTAAAAAAAGTTTTTTTGTGATAACATTTGAAATTGGTTTTTCTGGCAACTTAGTTTCTCGTGATAAAAATCTGTATACAAAATATTTCTAGAAAGAAAAAGTGCATTTTTTAATTCTCTATATATAGAGATTTAAAATATTGGGGGGGGGGTAAACGCAATTTTGAAAGCGATTTTGGTCCACAAATTGAGCAGTTGGAGGGTTAATAATACATGTTGTGCTTTTGAAAGAAATGTGTTTTTTAATTATTAATTAAACCAATGAGAAAATTAGGAATACTAAATAAATTAGATGTAAAATTAATTTGACAAACAGTTCAAATAGCTGAATTCTATTGTGCATGTTTTAAGGAAACTCCCCCCCTTTTCATCATTTAAGAAATTGTATTTATTCTAACAGTGTAATATTTTCATGAAGTATGATAAATTAATGTAATGCAGATTTATCCTTTTAAAGTGGTAGTTTTGATGGAAGTTGACAAGCTCACAAAAGATGCACAGCATGCTCTGAGACGTACTATGGAAAAATATATGGCAACATGCCGCATTATACTTTGCTGCAACTCAAGTAGTAAAGTCATTCCTGCAATTCGAAGTCGTTGCTTGGGTGTTCGTGTGGCTGCACCTACACACAGTGAGGTATATTTATATTCTAAAAATATTGATATTTTATAATAATTTTTTAGCTTCAAAAGCTTTTTTTACTTATATTTCCAAACCTGAAAGCTATAATGCATAAAAAGTAATTTTTAAGTAATCTGAAGGTTGTAAGACTGATTCAGAAGAACATATTTTCTAATATATTTTTCGTATTATTAGTTATATTATAAGGTATTTTCTCCCTCCTTCCTGCATGCTTTCATAGTGTAATGGTAGCACACTCGGTATGTATTTGAGAGGTTCAGGTTCGAGTCCCGGCGAGGGCATTGCTAATTTTTCATGTCTTCTGTTTCAAAATAACCTAATGACTACAGTGGTGCCTGAATTAAAAGGTGGTAGATGATGATTCTTCACTACCAGGATTTGACGACTGGTCCCCTTATTCCCTGTCGCCCTTTAAAAAGCGAAGTATATAAGGTATTTTCTCCTTCCTTTCTACATGCCTTCATGGTGTAATGATAGCACACCCTATTCAAGAGGTATTCAAGAGGTTCAGGTTCGAGTCCCAGTGAGGACATTGTTCATTTTTCATGTCTTCTGCTTCAAAATAACCTAATGACTCTACAATATCTTGTTTAAGAGATTTTAAACTTAACATAAATTAAAACAAGAAATTTCTTCATCGTTGTTATAGTGTTCATATTTTCGTGGCCTGTATATATCTAATCAATATATATGCTATCAACTTGAAGAAAAATGTACTTGATAAAAATAATTAATATGCATTCTTTGTAAATAAACCCATAGGAATAGGATTTTAGATTTTATATTAAAAAAAATTGTTATGAGAATTTATTAGAAATGTCAAAATTATTAACTTGTTACGTATTTTATTTATTTACCTTTTTAAGTGATTAAGTGATTAATTCTTTGCAGAATAGTATAGTAATGTGTAAATATTCTCTAAAATCTCAGGGTGAATGTTTTTAAATTTTAAAAATAGGCTTTTACTGTACATACTCAATTAACCCTTCCTTTTTGGATTTTGCGACAAGTGTAGTTAAACTTTGAAAATATTGGTATAAATTTTGTACGTAGGTCGGTAATTTTAGTGCAATTATATGTAAAATGTTGTATTTTTCTGTGTAATGTAACAAGAAAAATCTAAATAGAAAATATGCCAGAAAAGTAAGAATACAGGGGTAAGTCCTTTTAACATTGAGTAAATGGGTATCCCAGTAATTTGGCTAGATATCGCCAAGCTGACAATAGTTTTGGCAACTAAATTTCATCTCCAAATTTGGCGAGAAATCGCCAAAAGTCTTCAGACTTGGCAACATTTTTATCCGGTCCCTGTATCACCATAATAGGTATTGTAATTGGTCACTGTATTAGCTGCAACTGTAATTCGACTCTCATATTGCTTTCCAGTAATTTCGAGAAGCAGAAAGTACTAAAAATATCTCGACAGTCAGTTGAAAACTATATAAGGCTGGAGAGATCATCCGCTCTCATTTATTGTTGTGGCGAGTTGTTCAGTGTGAATTGAGATATCTTCAGATTAGCTTTTTCTTTAGATGCACTTTGCATTGCATTGTGTAATGTTCTTAGTAGTTTGAAGTGGAACTACTGATTGTACTCCATGATACTGTGAACACCTGTAAGAGAATTTTTTTGAAAATTCCAGAACTTTGAAGTGTTTCTTTTGATAAAAATAAATTTTATTATCATTGAACTTGTCTGCATTCAGTCTATTATGAACCCATATGCACACAACAATACTTATGAATGTTTTCCATACAGTTTCTATTTTAGAGGTATAATTTTGATTTGTTATTATATAAATTTACTGAAAATTTTTTGTTGTTGTTTAGATTATAGGGATACTGCAGCATATTTGTCGCAAAGAATGCCTTTCAATACCTGTAGAACTTGCAAACAGAATTGCAGAGAAAAGTAACCGTAATTTAAGAAGAGCAATATTAATGTGTGAAGCATGCCGTGTTCAACAGTAAGTCATTTAGTTTTTATATCATTTCACTCTGTGGAAAGTAAAATATTCATTTTAGATATATTTTTGTTATAATGTTTTGCTTTAATTTAAGACCAAAGCCATACTTCAAGAATTAACACTGCATTTTTTGAAATAATGAAGACATACAAGCATTCCATGTATACCTTTTCAACATATTCTAATGAAGTCCTCTGCTGTTTTCCTGTAGACTATTATGCCTTTGGTTCCTTGAAAAGAGCTCTTTCGAAGTACAAACCCACCACGATTGATGGATTCTGGAAAGTAGCGAGATAAGAATGAAAATCAGTATCCTTGGAAATTTTATGAAAAACTCTTCCATCATGGAAATCATGACGCATACTTATATTAAAAAAAATGGTATCAGATTGAACATTTTAAAATACTCTTTACATTAGACATTAATTAGAAGATCCTGAAATCATTCTAAAAATGTGTAAACATCCTCTGTATATGTATCAAGCATTGATGCATAAAGATCATGTGGAAAGTTGAGTTTCTGCAGCTCTGTTACTATGATCCGCTGCACACTTTAATGCTCTTATACTATTCATGGGTATCATTTTTTAGTCCAAAGGGATTTGAATCCCGAAGGACTATTAGTTTCGTTTTGGCATTTTGCGTCGGACTCATAAATGTCGGTTCACTTTTCAAACTGTTGCCACAAAATGTTAGAGTCCTGCATTATATTTGAAGAAATTAAATAATGAAAAATCTGCATAAATGTATGTATATTTCTCGTATTGTGATAAAACAACGGTACATAGAGTCATCAAATTTTGAATAACGTAATCCTCCAACGAATATGAGCATGTGGAAGACCAAATTTGAAATTTGAAATTTGTTTTATGATCGATTTCCTATTTTTTAAAACTTTGACGAATTTTTGATTAACAAACTCAAGGATTTCAAAGCGAGCAATGGCAACGTTGTGCAGAAAAAACATTTTTATCTCCAGCGCGTGAGTCTCTGTATCGGAAATTCTAAAGATATGCTCGTTTTAAAACTATTTTGCGATATTGCTGTTGCACTGGATCTTATGGTTTAAGTGCGAGGAACACGATATTTAATAAAGAAAGGTAACACACAAAATGTTAAAAAACACCCCTTTGGACGTAATTTAAAATCTGAAACATTTCAGATTTTTTTTTTTTTTTTTTTCAAATCACAGATCATATAATTGCAAAATGCTCTAAATATGACATAAAAATTTCTGTTCACGAAAGAGTTAACTGTTCATAAAAATGTCAGGATGTTTAGAAGGATTTCTTGCAATCAGGGCCGTCATTTATCACCCTGGTTGCAAGTATTTTGATATCAATCACAGTATTTGATATTCTCGAGAATTCCATCATCACTTCAAACAATCCAAGAGGTGCAGCAAGAACTTCCAGAAGCCCATATTTACATCATTTAAAAAGTAGTGAAACACGTTTCAAATGGAAAGAAATGCTGCATTCTAAACAGTCATTTCAGTGACCAGTTTGCCTGCAATGTGTGATTACTCTCTTTTGGACATTAAGTAATTTTAATTAGCCATATTTCATCATACATATACTTAATTTGCATAAGAACCATACCACTTGCCTGTGAGAGCTGCATGCAGCTCACTGTGCTGCAGCTACTCTTGCTATATTTGATCCAAAGTTAACAATGGATACCATATGTATATCTTTTTCATTGCACATATGAATTTTCCATTTCATTTTCAGATATCCATTTTCCCCAGATCAAGAAATTGTGGAGCCAGACTGGGAAGTCTTTCTTCGAGATACAGCTAATTTCATTGTTCAAGAACAAAGTCCTAAGAGGTAAGTGTCATAGAAAAAAGAATGACAAGTAGTTTGTATACATACTTAGTATAATAATTGATTTTCTATATTAATACTATATCAACCATTTGCACTGAGAGAGTTATTTTATGATGTATAGCAATTTACATTCATTCCTAAACATTTTTATCCCATGACTTTTAGTGCTAAAGCAGTTTCTTTTTTAATCGTAATTTTCTGTAATGTATTGTTCTCCACTATTGGGGCTTATAATTGATGAAGAGTTAAAAGAAAAAGTTACTGAAAAAGTTTCTTTCTTGGCTCAGTTCCTGGTGATGGACTGAGATGCTTTAACATAGAACAGTAGTGGCATTGGTGGATTTATGATCTTTGATATCTGGTTGCTATAGTGGCACATGTGCTTTGCAGGAGATTTAGACTCATGAGTATATTGTTAATTATACAGATTTTTAAATAAATGTTAGGGACAAATCACATTTGAGTTATGAAAATATAAGACTGAAAAGAAAGAATTTTTATTTTAGGCCTTTTTTTTTTTAATTTTAAAAAAGTGGTAATATAAGTAGATTTTTTTATATAAACATTCCAAAATTCTATTGAGAAGATATTCTTCTTTTGAGAGACAGAGTGTATTAGATTTTTATGAAATCAAAAACTAAAATAATTTTCACTAAAAGAGACAAATCTCAAATATGAATATTTATACATTTTTTTTACTAAATCTAAGGATAGTATGTTATACAGAGAATATTATTTTATAATATTATGTTAAATGTGATACATTAGATGATGTTTAACGAAATTAAATGTAGTACAATAGAGAATTTTTCACTTTTGATAATGCGTTTATTTTTTGAAGGAACTACTATTAACATACTTTTTTAAAAATCTTTTAAATAAAAATTTTACTAATGCTTATTTTGAAACCTTCGTTTTCTACTTTCAATATAAACATTTTCAACTCATTTGTCAACCAATAAGTATGCAATAATTGATTATTCTAGTGCTTTTTTAATGACTATGAGAATTGCTATGTATTTTAGTTTTAAGTTGATGTATTGATATGATCATAAGACCAACATGGTAGAGAGATTGTAAACATTTTTAATAAATAAATGTTTTTAAAGTTAATGCACAGCATGGTGAGCTAGAGAAGTCCCTCAATAGAATAATAAAAATCAGCTAAATATATATCAATTCATTTGCATTTTCTTTTGAATTGATAAGTGTTTCAGATACAGATCAATTATGATGCTGATATTGAAATATAAAATATTTGGTTTTTCTTAAGTCTAAATATTGCAGTTTGCTGGTGATAAAAGCAGTAAGTCTAGACTACTTAATAGCTTTGCATGACTGGAGGTTTTGACCAAAATTAAATGCACTACCCTGTTTTGTGGTGAAGCAATTCTGTTTTTTGGTGACTTATTCGTGAATCAGTGAAATCAGTAGAATGAAATCAATGAAAACAAATAGTAGCTATTTTCTTGGACATTTCACTTAAAGTAGCCTAAAATTTTTTTAATAAATCTATCATTAGGAATTATTTATTGTAAATGTAGTTCTTTTCTATCTAAAGCATTGACATGATAATTTGTTTTCTGTAGTTTTTATTCTTTTAGCATTACAACTGTTAGAGAGTGAGATCCGTCGAAAGAATAATGGACTGTAATCAGTTTTAAAGGTTTATTCATCGATAGAAAGGTACATGGGCCTTAAGGATCAGAGCTGTATGCTCATGCTAGCGCTGATGGCTATTACAAAAGATGGTGTAGGAGCCTAAAGAAACAACCACTCTGTTCGTGGTCTACAGAGGTTCCGCTGCTTAAGAGGGGGGCGTCGCAGCACCCTTTAGTGAGATGAATGTTACAACAATAGGATAGAACAGAACAACAACCACTGAATGTCAATGATATAGTTATAATAATTAAGAACAAAGACATGACTCGTCATTATAAATATTTTTTATATGCCTCTGAATGCCAATTGTTTAGTTATAATGATTAAGAACAAAGATATGACTCAGCATTACAATTATTCTTGGTATAATTTTTTATTAACAATGGCAACTATTATAATCAAGCTACCATAAAATTTTTACTGAGGGATACTTTTTCACAGGATAGAATTTTGAAAACTAAATTGTATTGGCAACAGAATATTTCTAACTACCTCTTGCTGGCATATTAAATTTCTTTAGCTGATGATAACTTTTTCTTAAAAACATAGTTTACAAAACAGTAATTTTTATGCATGAACCTCTTCAAACCAAAGAAAAGTTAAGTAATTTAATTCTTTCTATGGCTGAAAAATTTAATGTTTTGCTTACTTTTAGTATTTTAAAATACACTCTATAACAAAAAAATCGACGCGCCAAGAAGGAGTTGTCCGATGGAGACAAAAATTGGTGGGTAGGAAAATTATGTACAGAATAGAAAATTATTAAAATTTCAGAGCAATTGAATGATTTATTTCAGAGGTACGTAGTTACAAAAATAATGAGCTCAATAAGGTGTTCATCCAAATCTAGCCTTGATGCAAGCTGCCACCGGTGTGGCATAGACTGATAAAGCTCCCTGATGGTCTCCTGCGATATTTCTTGGCAAATTTGCTTCAATTGTCAGGCTAGGTCATCAACATTCATTGGTAGATGCAGTCGCCTTTCTGTCATATTCCAGACGGGCTCGATGGGAGAGAGATCTGGTGATCTGGCTAGCCGAGGAAGTGTTTGACAAGCTGTAAGACAGTTCATAACAACATTTACTGTATGTGGTCTGGCATTATCTTGCTGAAAAATAAGGCCAGGGTACTGCAAAAGGAACGGTAGCAAAACAGGTCTCAGAATGACTCTCAACTGTGCTGTAAATGTGCCTCTAATGACGACCAAAGGGGTCCGGCTATCAAGGGAAATGGCACCCCAGACCATAACTCCTGAATGAGGGCATGCAGTAGTGAAAGCAATATCGGCATGCTGCTCTGGGCATCTCCAGACACGTCTTTGATGATTGTCACAACACATTTGGAAGCGGGATTCGTCGCTAAAGACTATACATCCCCACTCAGCATCATTCCAACCTGATCGAGCCAAGCACCACTGTAATCTGTCTCGACAGTGTGCAGGCGTGAGTTGCAGGTGAACCGAAATTTTTAACAATAGTTCAAGAACAGCTCCTTATATACATCTGCTGGAGATTGCACTATTCGTTCATTGTACACCAAATTTTAATCATTTGCATTATAATGGTCAAAACATTTATGCATACAGAATTTCAAAGTAATCGGATGATTCCTTCTTGGTGCTTCGATTTTTTTGTTATAGATTGTAATTTTCTTTTCATTCCTTTAAGAACTTTTTGTATCAAATCAAAATCTCTAGCATATTAATTAAAAATTAACACTTGCATATTAGTGTGACAATTTTCGCATTGTTTAAAATTTTTTTACAAAAGAAAAAGAATGATCACTGAAATTGCAAAAAATTCTTTCTGATATATGTGCATTTTTATGTTTTAATTAAATGTTTATCTGAAAAGTTAATTAGTAAACCTACTTGCATGCAGCTTTTTGTTTCTTTCATTCTGGTAGAAATTTTGGGGCAGTCAGTAAAAAAAGATTTAAAAAAAATGTTCCAGTTAACACTTTTTCAGCAAAACATTGTATTCCTACAGAAGTTTTACTGCAGTTTCTTACTTTGAGGGCAAATCCTAAATACACATATTTTAAAATTAAGGTGTGGGGGAACTGCAATTTGTCTACTAAAGATATTCGAATTTGGAATACAACAAAAAGAATGCTAATGAAAATGGTGACATTGCTTTATAAAAATGGAAGAACTGTTTTGTGTACAACTGCTAGAATTTATCACATTCTGAAAATTTAGTGACTTCTATAAAGGTGGTCGAGCTAATATGTAAATATCTAAAAATTAAATAAAATAATCCTTTACAAATCGTCTGCGATAAAACATTAACATTTTTATAAAATTATTCTTGCAAAACATTTTGATTACTCATCATGCAATTTATTTTTAAATTTAGACTTTCTGAAGTCCGTGGTAGGATTTATGAATTAATCTCCCATCTTATACCTACAGATGTCATATTTAAAGTAAGATTTTTTAACCTTTTTATTAAAAAGAGAATTTATTTAACAAAATGTATTCTTATTCACCTTTTGTTCTTTTCTTTCTAGGGCTTATTAAAGGAACTTGTAAATAACTGTGATGGGCAACTAAAAGGAGAAGTGACTGAACTGGCTGCGTTTTTTGAGCATCGATTGCAACAAGGAAGCAAAGCTATATATCACATTGAAGCATTTGTTGCAAAATTCATGGCTTTGTACAAAAAATTTCTAGAAGTTAATATGGCAGACGTTTATTAAAAATGTATAAATGATAGATTTATAATATTTTTTTGAAGTATGGCCATAATTTTCCTTTTGTAAATTTGTATTTTTTTTTTTTTTTTTTTTTTTTCAATTTACATTAAATCTGGATAAAGTATGTTAAATATAACAATAATTTAAAATGAATTAATTATAAAATAGTTTTGAAACAGCTATAGACTACCATTGCTGCATAAAAACCAAACATATAGTGAATTTGTTTCAAATTATTCTAAAGCAGAATATGTAATTTATTAAAGAATGCTATATAAAATTAGGCAAAGCAACAACCTTCTGCTTGGTGTATATTTTAACCAAGACTCTATCAAATTTAAGCATGAACAATTGCTTGTCCCTCATCACCAGGAGAAAAGAGATTCTGCAAAGAAGGGAATTGTTCTTATACAAAAATAAAACTATCATAAAAAATAAAGCAAACGAGATCTTTTTCACTTTACTTTTGGTATAAATACAACTCCTTTCTTTGCAGAATTTCATTTCTCTTGACCTGCACCTGCTTGCCCTCGAAATTGATAATCTTGGTTAAAACATAAACAAAGCAACAACCTTTAGTTTGGTGTAATTTTATTTTTTACTTAGTGTCTTCTCTCTTGAAAAAATGTTATATTAATGTCTCATTAATCACATATGTTTTAAGTATGTAACTTTATCTAATAACAGTAAATTAAAATATACTAGTATCCAAAATTATCTCTTTATTTTCAGAAAACCATGAATGTCTGAAAAATTCTTGAATGAATTTATAAACATAGGACATAAATACAAATTGTAAAAACAAATTTAAATTAGTACACAATATAAAACATTGTAAAAATGCAGATAACTGCATTTACTGTAAAGTAAATTGAAATATATGGCAGTACATTTGAAATATAAACATCTAAAATGCAAGTGCACATTTCTGATTTAATTAGAATATAGGTCTCCCATAAATTGTATATACAGATCACAGTTTGATTTTATATTCTCACTAAAGTGGTTAACTAAAAATTTGGAGGAATAAGTTACAGTCCTGCATCAATGATGTCTTGAAGACGTTCAGATTTCAAACAAGAGTATCGTGCATCAACATCATTATGTATTAGCTATTCCAGTGATGTCATTTAAATGTGTGATTCAAATAAGTATATCTGGCTTGCCATTATTCACTTGATGTTTTTAATTTCAAGAAATTAATCAAACAGCTTTGCTGAATGTAGGCACACGTTTATCTTCCATAAAGTAAAAATTCCAGATCACCTGTAAAAAACTTTGCATAGAATTGTGAGAATTCATCCCAAAGTCTTTGGCCAACCTTGTATTCTCTCAAACATAGACAAAGAAAACAAAAGAGAAAACTACTGATCATGATTTCTTTCCCATGCCATCATGTTTGCACCACTATAATGATTGTATGGTCTAAAGTTGGAAGAGATATTCTACATTCTTGTCTACCTTTGGATATAAATGTAGTTAAATTAAACCTTGTCACTGAAGAGAATATCTGCCTATTATTTTAGACTACAGCTATATCTACATCAACTCTGGCAGGATCTTTTCTGTGAAATCAGTGAAGGATAAACCATTGGCATAAAGGCTTTCCTTTTTGAGCCTTCTGGGTATAGTTTGCTGTAGTAAATGTCAGTTCATAAATTGAGCAGTTGAGAACTCACGTTTTCTGTTATGGTAAGTAGTAATGGTTAATAACATCAGAAGTTGCCAAAGAGGGACAAGAAAGAAATTTATTGCTCTCTGTTACAAATATATTTCATGCCTTAAATGTGAGTAATGATTTTATTCTCTCACAATCAGTGAAACGCATGTGATGGAGTTGTGTCGTGATTTATCTAATTTATCTAGTAGTAACATAAGTCTACAAATTTTATCATGGAGTACAGGATTATATCTGTTACTGGCATGGGCCTTGAGCAGTTTATAGGTAACAATATAACTTTGCTCATGCCCCAATTTTGAAGGAGAATTTACTGGGACGTGGGTTTAAAGGTTTCTCACCTGTTTTTCTGTACTGTCAAACCACTCAAGAGAACTTAACATTTATTTTAAATGCCCTCGTGACACAAAGACATTTTATGTTTACAAACATCCAAGCCCATCAGTATGGCAGCCAGCATAGCTCAACACCATACAAACTAGGGCATGATGTAACAGAGTACACTTTTTACAATATATCTTTTAATGTGATGGAATATATTGTAACGTATATTCTAGTATCTCAGAAACAACCGTGATAAGTAGCTGCATATTTATTATAGGGAAGTATAATATCCATACAGCTTGTAAGCTAAGGATTTGCAGATTTTAGATCACAAATAAAAAAAATATTTAGATTTTAAAAATGCAAAATAAATAAAAAGAGTATGAAAACTGACATAGATAAGACCACAACATATTGCTAGTTTGTCCCAGGTTCAATTAGTACAGTTGAACTGGCAGACAGCTAGGTGTTTCTGGTGGTGTGGTTAGCAACGTTGACTGCTAGATATTTCTGGTATTGTAGGTAGCAATGCTGACTACTGTATTGATGGGCTTGGGTTCCAATCCTGGAAAAGGCATGGATGTTTGTGAGCATATAGTATTCGTGCAGCAAAAGGGCACTCAAAATACATGGCGAGCTGAAAAAGGTTAGTGATAGAGGAAGAGATCAGGGGTGGGAGACCTTTAGACTGTTCATTGGTGTGTTGTCCTTCAAAATTGGGGAAGAATTGCAAAGGTAGTGCAGAGGAACTGTACCTGTATGACCAATGGTGAATTTATGGTGTCCTGCCCTAAGGTTTGCCTGTACTTGTCAAACCATAACATTCTCCTCTCATTAGTATACAGTGGTGGCCAAAATTGTGGACACTTTTGGAAATTTTTATGTTTTTGAACTTTGTATGCTTATAGAAAATGTTACGTTTCGCAAAATGCAAACTTGTATATATCATTTTAAAGAGAATTTATTACTGAATTCAATACAAAGCACAAAATTCAATTATTTGCAATACAAAAAAAGTTATATGTACTTTAATATAAATAAAAAACACAGTTATGAAGTGGTTTATAATGTCTAGCTTTCCTGGCCAATCACTCTTCTTGTTCTGAGAATCAGTCAAATGTTAGTAACTGCCAGTAGAAGCTGACATGTTTACACTTGAAACAATTCATTATTTTGCTTTGTTCTGTAGAAGGAGAACCGGTTTCTTATACACTGCAATTACAAGTAGGAATTTTTGTAAAAATTTTTAATATTTAGTCAAGAAGCAATGACCATCAAATAAAAGAGTAGATTGGACACCTAGAAGAGATGTAATAGTTATTGTGTTACGAGAAAGTGGTCTTTCCTATGCTGAAATTGCAAGACAGGTGGGTGGTTCAGTGACTACATCCAGACTCCGAAAGTTTTGTTTACGATATCAGGAGACAAATTCAATAAAAAATAAAGAAGGAAAAGGCCGAAAAAGCTGCACCACATCTATTGATGACAGAAGAATAAAAAGACTATATGTCTCCAAGATAGAAAAATGTCATCAGTGGCCATCAGAAGTGGTCTGAATGATGCTGGTGTTTTTGTCAGTTCAAGAACAATCAGGAGAAGATTAACAGATGTTGGACTGAGAGGTAGAATTCCACAAAAAAAGCCTTATCTTAATTTTCAGCAACGAAAAAAAAAAAAAAAAAAGACTACAGTGGGCAAAGGAACACATTAATTGGACAGATGATCAGCGGTCACAAGTTATATAGAGTGATGAAACTAAGATATCGTTATTCGGTAGTGATGGGTGAAAATATGTAAGACATAGAATAGGAGAAGAGCTACATCCTGACTGCATTCAAGCAACTGTGAAGAATCCAGTTAGTGTTATGATTTGGTCATGCATGTCAGCAGATGGTATTGGTCGCCTTCATGTCATCGATGGGACACTGAATGCCAGAAAATACATTGACACTATTCTAGAACCAAAACTTCTACCTTCCATCAGAGATAACTTTCTCAACAATGCTTTGTTTATTTTTCAGCAGGATTCTGCTCCTTGCCACACAGCCAAAATATCGAAAGAGTGGTTTTCGTACAAAGAGCATTAAATTGTTGTCATGGCCAGGAAACAGTCCTGACCTCAATCCTATCGAAAATTTGTGGCACCGTTTGAAAACTCTTGTCCGAATGAGGCGCCCATCAAATAAAAGGTAACTAATTGAGGCTATAATTGTTTCCTGGCATGTAATAACGAAAGAAGAGCTTAAAACTCTTGTCAGCTCAATAAACGTCAATGTGAAGCTGTAATAAAAAATAAAGGGTACCCTACTAAGTACTGATAACTCACTGCAATCATGACTACGTAATGTATATCGATAACTATTATCGTTTAACTTTTTTGTATTGCAAATAATTGAATTTTGTGTTTTGTATTGAATTCAGTAATAAATTCTCTTTAAAACGATATATACAAGTTTGCATTTTGTGAAATGTAACATTTTCTATAAGCATACAAAGTTCAAAAACATAAAAATTTCCAAGTGTCCACAATTTTGCCAGCATTGTATATAGAAATTCTATTGCATGTAGTCAAATTATGCTGATAAGAAGGTGATATTGCTATTGCATGGTGTGCTAAAAATGTTAGGTAATATGTGTTGCATGTTGAAGATAACATCCATATGCAAAATGCAGGCATGAAATCGCTGGTTGAAATGAAATTTGTTGTCAATGAAGGTACATAATCAAGCAAAATTTACAGGCATTAAATATAGTACTATGATGATGAGACTACTGGCTGTAATGAAATATCTGAATGTTGCAAATAATTTAAAAATAAATATGCAATGTTGCAAAATTACCATTGAAATACGGTCTATCAACTTGCTACAATCATTTCCAAATACATAAGTTCATGCATTATTAACCATTAATGGTGATAGCTGCAGTTAAATTCTAAGATTTAAATAATGCTTTTAAGAGGAAAGGGAGAGAAGCTTCCTTTGTTATAAAGTGCTTACTGACTCATACCTTGAGATTAGACCAGGTGGATAGAGATTACACCAGGTGGCAAAATGCTTACTCTTGTAGACATGCAGTGACATACAACATGAATCTTTTAAATTATCAGTTTTCAATTTTATAAATAGAAAATTCCTTTCTACAGATGCTTGTCCACTTGACAAAATTAGAACAGCTTTTGCAACTTTCCACCCTGTGTTTAGTGAAAAGATGAGAAAATAATGTGAAGATAAACATGTTATGAGAAGGATTTTCTAGGATCAAAAGTAGAAAATTGAAATAACTGTTTTCACTGTTCTTACAAAAATTTTTTCCTCTGAAACCCATTCATTATATGTTAACGCAATGAAGACATTTTTTATTTTGTCACATATTTTTATAAATCTTGCTTTTAAATCTTTCTAAACCTTCCAAGGTGCCAGGTCTAAAAATTATCCTGCTCTATATGAACAAAAGACCAGAAAAATTTGAATAAAAAATTAAGGAAAGAAAAGTGTAAAATGAATTTTTTAAAGAAAACTAATACACATTTGAATATTCCAAAATAATTACATGGGAGAAAACATAAAAGAAGGCAGATGAAATTAATTTTTAAATAATTAATTAGCTTTTGCTAAAAGTGCTACTAAACTGCATTTGTTATCTCATCTATTTTTCAGAATAAAAATATTGTCAAGATACCAAAATGGAAAGCAATTTCATTTTAAAAATT